TTAACAAAGATATCGGAACTTGTATTTAACTCAGTGGATGGATTTTTAATAATAGGTGATTAGTATTAGTTTTTCTATATATATATATATGATATATGATATAATATATATATATACATATATACATATACATATTCAGAAAAACTAATACTAATCACCTAATATATATATATGTATAATTATCAATTTTTTTAACGCTCTTATGTACATGTGTAATGCTTTTAAGAGCCATTCCCAATATAGACTTTATGTGCATGAACGGACTAGTGGAAAGTTTCTAGCCCAGCTCCGCACCATAATGCCATAATGTTTCGGACAAATATTAAATAGGTTCGGTCTAATAGAATTAGATTGTTAATTTTCCAAAAAGGAAGTTGCCAAATTGGCAATCTTTAGTAGATAATTTTGCGTATTGCGGACTGCCGCACAACAGGAAATTTTGAGATTTGATATGGTCCAATGGGAAATTTAGATACGTGATATGTTTTTCGGTCCTTTTCGTTCGCTATCAAAATAAAAAAATTCTAAAAAGCCAGCTAATAGGTTTTGACTATTTCGTACCAACTAATGTGAGCACTTTTAAGTTAAACGAAGACTTTGTTAATACGTGTATTATACCTGTAGTATGGAGTATATCATAATCGGGCATTTAGAAATCGTGGTGGTTTGGTATTAGACTTTATTTTTAGTAACATTGGGCTAGGTGGTAAGGAGGGGGGTATTTTTATTGTCGGGTGTGTGTTTTGAAAAATGGGGTAATATTTTCTAGTTTACGAATAAACTAAAAAGTCAAAACATTACCTTTAAGTAAGTATGGGATTTTGCCGTTATGGAACGAATTTGTTAGCAAACGTTATAAGAACTGCAATACTCTTGCAGAGGCTATTCTAATTTCAGTCAAGCTTTTTCCGCAGTGGATTGCGCATTTCTACCCCTTTGGAACACGATCCAGACATGTCCGTCTGTCCGTTTCTACACAATCTAGCCCTTAGACTAAGGTCTTCCAGCTATTTGGATAAAACTTTGAAAAGTCTTCTTTCTGTTCCAATTTGAAACGGACAGCTTACCTCTTTCATACGAACAAAAATAAGGGAAACAAGAAAGGAAATCTAGCTTCGGGCGGAGCCGAAGATGATATACCCTTGCAGAGTATTCTGTAAATTATATTCTCCAAAATTACTAATATGATGCATTTTAACACACATAAAAAATCCCAACTTCCTAACATTAAAAACACCAAAGTTATGGCATTTCCAATCGTTCAGTTAGGATATAGTTGGCCGATCCTTATGAAATTTGGTAGGACGGGTTGATTGGCCAAAAATAAAACCCATAGAAAGAAACACCAAAGTTATGGCATTTTCGATCGTTCAGTTATATGGCAGCTATAGGATATAGTCGTCCGATCCCTGCCGTTCCGACTTATATACTGCGTGCAAAGGAAATAAGGGTATACAGGTATAATAAACGTATAAACAAAGTCTTCGTTTATTTAAAAGTGCTCACATTAGTTGGTATGGAATAGTCAAAACCTATTAGTTGGCTTTTTAGAATTTGTATACCCTTGCAGAGGGTATTATAATTACAGTCAAAAGTTTGAAACGCAGTGAAGAACACATTTCCGGCCCTATAAAGTATATATATTTATGAACAGCATCATTAGGAGAGTCGATCTAGCCATGTCCGTCTGTCCGTCCGTCTGTCCGTCTGTCCGTCCGTCCGTTTCTACGCAAACTAGTCCCTCAGTTTTAAAGCTATCTGCTTGAAACTTTCCCCAAAGTTGTCTTTCTATTGCCGGATCGGCCGACTATATCATATAGACGCAATAAAACTGAACGGTTGGAAATTTCATAACTTCGGTGTTTTTAAAGTTACAAAGATTGAATTTTTATACCCTTGCAGAGGGTATTATAATTTTGGTCAAAAGTGTGCAACGCAGTGAAGGAGACATCTCCGACCCTATAAAGTATATATATTCTTGATCAGGATCACCTCCTGAGTTGATATAGCCATGTCCGTCTGTCCGTCTGTCTGTTTCTACGCAAACTAGTCTCTCAGTTTTAAAGCTATCGAGTTCAAACTTTGCACACACCCTTCTTTCCTTTGCACGCAGTATATATGTCAGAAAGGCCGGGATCGGCCGACTATATCCTATAGCTGCCATATAACTGATTGATCGGAAATGCCATAACTTTGGTGTTTGTAAAGTTAGGAAGTTGGAATTTTCTATGGGTTTTATATTTGGCCAATCAATCCGACCTACCAAATTTCATAAGGATCGGCCGACTATATCTTATAGCTGCCATATAACTGAACGATTGGAAATGCTATAACTTTGGTGTTTTTAAAGTTAGGAAGTTGGGATTTTTTATGAGTATTAAGAACGAATCATATGAATAATTTTGGAGAATATAATTTACAGAGTATTCTGGAAGGGTATATAAACTTCGGCACCGCCCGAAGTTAGCTTTCCTTTCTTGTTTATTGATTTTTTTTGGCCAAACAATATAATTTACAGAATATTCTGCAAGGGTATATCAACTTCGGCTCCGCCCGAAGTTAGCTTTTCTTTCTTGTTAATTTTTTTTTTGTTCTTTGGGATTTAGTAAAATTTAAATATTATCGAATTACGGTTTTAATTAAATTAAAATCGGACAACAATATCATATAGCTGCCATAAAAACGATGGCAAAATGCAGCACAAAGTCGACTCAGCAGAGAAATCGAAATGTAGTCGTTTTGTAATAACTTCAAGGGTATATAAACTTCGGCTTGCCGAAGTTTGCTTCCTTTCTTGTTTTTATTGTTTTTTGGGAATTTTTAATATATAAAGTTCATGGAATTACGGTTTTAATTAAAATCAGACATCTATATCTTATAGCTCACACAGGAAAATGGAAAAATTACTTGGGAGGACAAAATAACATTAATACGATCTGCGGAGTCCCAGAATTGTAGGATTTGTCAAATAAAAAACATTTAAATGCAACCATTATAAAAAGAGCGTGGGAGAAAATAGCCTGGGAAATGGATAAAGATAGTAAAGTCTAGTTCTCAGATTCGCTAGCGTAAAAACTTTAATCTTTCCAGTGTGACTGTTTTTTTTTGGAGAGTTAAAGAATTAAAGCTTAGTACTCAGAGCGAAAAACGAGTAAGCTAGCGTAAAAACTTTAATCTTTCAAGTGTGACTGCATTTTTGAGAGTTCATCAGAATTACCCGTGCTACGATCGTACTGTGAATCAGCTGTGTTTGTTGACAAGCAGTTAAAATTCTAAAATCATATTTGCGGGAAAGAGCCTTTAAAAGATATTATCCACTACCTTGGCAAGACAAGTCTGAGGCTGTACAAAGAAATTAAAAAACAGTACAATTTCCATTTAACAGTGATTATTTCTTTAATTTACTGAAAATTATTTGCTAATTTAAAGTTCATAGCTGCACTTAATTCTAACAGGCGATTTTTCTAAGTTTTTTATTGTGTTTTTTCGTACATTTTTGACCTAAGAAACACTTTGCTCGGACAAGAGGCTCTCCATTGTCTTCTCCGGTGGGACTCCTCCAGCATTTCCACTTTTCCGTCGCCTGCATTTCAGATGGTTTTATAGCTGTCCCGCAGCGACTTCCACGCCAGCTTGCAACTATTATCTAAACATAAATATTATATATGTCCACATTAACAAATATTTAATAATGTACAATTATGACTTACCATCTTTATCCATTTCCCAAACTAATTCCACATACGCTTTTTTTATAATGGTTGCATTAAAATGTTTTTTATTTGACAAGCCTCACAATTCTGGGTGAGACTCCACAGATCGTATTAATGTTTGTCCTCACAAGTAAACTCCTGAAATCGACTTTTGCAGGTTTTTTGATTTTTTGCCTCTATTTTTTAAAATGTTCAGTGAGAGCACGTCGAAAGATTACATTTTGTATTCTTTTCGCTAGGGTTCACCCAAAGTTCATTTCAGCAGACTGGCAACGCTATGAAATTTTCTGGTATTTTTTTCGTCGCATTTTGCCATTGTTTCTATGGCAGCTATATGATATTGTTGTCCGATTTTAATTAAATTAAAACCGTAACTCCATAATATTTAAATATTACCAAGTCTCAAAGAACAACAAAAAATAATTAAAAACAAGAAAGTAATAATTTTTCCGATTGTTCCCCTGGGAGCTATATGATACAGTCGCCCGATCCGGCCCTTTCCGACTTATATACTACCTGCAATAGAAAGACAACTTTTGGGAAAGTTTCAAGCAGATAGCTTAAAAACTGAGGGACTAGTTTTGGTAAAAACGGACAGACGAACGGAAGGGCAGATCAACTCTCCTGGTGATGCTGATCAAGAATATATATACTTTATAGGGTCGGAAATGTCTCCTTCACTGCGTTGCAAACTTTTGACTGAAATTTGTATACCCTCCGCAAGGGTATAAAAATGGACGGAAAACTCCAACAAAAAACCCAGTAAAATCGCATGCAAGAACTTAGTGAAGCCAAGGTAGTTGAGAATATCTTTTAAAGGCTCTTTCCCGCAAATAACATTTTGGAATTTTAACTGCTTGTAAACAAACGCAGCTGATTACCAATACGACCGTAGCATGCTTAACTCTGATGAACTCTCAAAAATGGAAAAACTGGAAAGATTAAAGTTTTTCTGAGTACTATGATTTACGAACAGATTTCGTCGATCTGAGTACTAGGCTTTAATATTTTCGCAAGGGCCTGACGAACGCTCAGCCAAAGTTCATTTCAGCAGACAGGCTGAGTAAAGAGCCTGACGAAACGTTTTCTTTTGGCTCTCGTTCTCTCTCATAGCTGACGAACAGATTTCGTAGATCTGAGTACTAGGCTTAGATACAGAAGCTCCCCTTTGTCCTCAAAAAATACAAACTAATTATTTGGGACGAATGTAAAGGTGGATAATATAACTTGGCCCACCGTTGAATTTTAGCTTGGTAATTTAAAAAATCTGGCAAACCATTTTTACAGGGACCGCCGTTATGCCGATATGCCGCCTCCTGAAAAAGATCCAACGAATGGGAAGGAACACTCTGACTTGGAGATGATTAAACAACTTCAGCTAATACGAAGAAGATTACTTAGTCAGGTGAGCACATTAGCCATAAGCACCCTTATGAAAATGTTTTAAATAGTTGAGAATAAAGACCGAAAAAATGTAACATTTTTTCTAAACAGTTACCATTTTTTTGCACTCATCAAAACTAAATTTCTTGAAGTACATATGTGGGATTTGTTTCTAAAAAATTTTTTTTTTTTCGTATAAAAAAATACAAACTTTTACACCTATATATATTTCAGATATATCTAATTCTTCGAATATAAAACTTGAATGCTCAAACTAATATGATTTTTAAACAACTAAATAACATGAACTATAATACGCAATCGACTAACATATGTATTTTATATATTAAACATTTTGTTACTATTTTATTTTTCAAAACATTTTACAATTTTGATCAGAAGCTTGTAACCCCGTGAAGGTGACATTTTCGCCCCTTTACGCAAACTAGGCTTTCAGTTTTAAAGCTAGTTCCAAAAGTCTTTTACCTATTGCAGGTATATACATAATTCGGAAAATAGAACAACCGGAAAAATAAATAAAATGAAATAAAAATACTATATAACTTCGTTGTTTTAGAGATTTTCTTACAATTTCAAAACTACGGTTTTAATTTTATAAAAATTCGAAGTCTATATCAAATAGCTGTCAAAGAATATGGAGTTCGATTTCCTTTCGATCGTTCCTATGACAGTTGGCGTACACATGTTGTAGGACGACTGTGAAAGTTTCAGATCGCTAGCTTTTAAAATGAGCTATCAAACGGTATTGAAACAGACGGACATGGCTATATCGACTGCCCTATTGATCCTGATCAAGAATATATATACTTTATATGGTCGGAAACGTCTCCTTCACTGCGTTACAAACTTCTGACCAAAATTATAATACCCTCTGCAAGGGTATAAAAAGTGAAAATAATAATTCGTCTCCATAAGCCTAAAAAAAATCTGACAACAATGTCATATAACTGCCATAAAAACGATGATAAAATGCAGCGCCAAATCGACATAGCTTCATTGTTTTTAGTAATATGGGCGTAGAAATCGAAATGTCGTCGTTTTGTAATAACTGCAAGGGCATATAAACTTCGGCTTGCCGAAGTTTGCTTTCTTTCTTGTTGGTTATTAAAAATCTAATCAATGTATTAAACAAATTGTTTTAAGCTTTAATTCATTTTCCCAGTAATACTGATCACAAGAATGCATATTCTTTTTAGGGGCGTGTCCTCTCTGATGATATAGGGTACAAAAATGTTTAATGCTCCCTTAGCACTTGCTGTTCGTTCGTAACCTGTGCACATAAACTAACGTAAAATAATGGAAAGGGCCATTAGAGGTTTCGACTAAGCTTTCTTGAATAAGGCTGAAAAATATCAAGACCATGGTTAGGACTCAGCTTTATGGGGAGGCCAGGCCATCGCAAACGAGGGCCAAAGTGAGTCAAGGAAGAAAGTACAAGCCAGTGGAAAGAAAAGCTTATTGTTTGAGTCGTGAATGGAGAGAACAATACAAAGGCTATTCAAACCTGCACAAATGATGAAAGAAGCACTAAATAGAACTTACATACAAAGCGTCACAGTAAAGCATAAAAGAATAATAAAAGCTTATACTGGCGTTGGGGAAAATCAAATAAAAAAAAGATAATATAAAAAAATACAAACATAAAATGTATTGTAAAAGATATCAATGTTCGTTTGCCACACATTTGTTTAAATATAAATATAAAATAAAAACGTAATACCTTTTTCCAAAAGTTAGACTGCATTCAAGAATGTTCTGAATGCTTCATTGAAAACTGTGAATTCTTTCCGGGCTACGTGACTACTTACTTTAATTTGTACATGGTAATTCGTCAAATGCTATCTTATACCTGATACGTGACCTTTTCACTGTCCTTGGTTCAAAGAAATATACATCGAAATCAGGGACAGTTTTTTTTAAGTCTTGTTAAATTAAAGCACAATTAAAATTAACGAAAATAAAGAAGTTTGCGATTTAACTATAATTACACATTTTTATTTGAAAATATTTTTCATTTTTTCATTTTCCTATGGGAGCTATATGATATAGATGTCCGATTTTAATTTATATACAACAATATTCTAATAAATAGAAAAGCAGCAAAATAATATTTGTTTTAACTAAGGGACTAGATTGCGTAGAAACGAACGGATCGATGGAAATGTCTCCTTCACTACGTTGCAAACTTTTGACTGAAATTATAATACCCTCTGCAAGGGTATAACAAGACTTGTCTTCACAGGGTCAATAAAGTTCTGTCCAAACATTTGACCAATATTGTAAACCCTAACAAATGTATACACTTAGTTTCTACAATACTAACTGAAAAGGGATGAACTATATTTGATTTTTCAACAACACTTTTTTGTTTGAACTTTAAACCCTTTTTCTAAACCGTTATTCATTTCCTGTATGTTGATATGTTTTGACCATCAAATATATTTGGGCCTATCATGCTTATGATTTTCCACCACCCAGTTTGAGTGTACTTATTACTCACCGGGGAATTATTCAAAGCGTTGAGTAACGATGAGGTAGCAGAGTTTTAGCTCTAGCTGTCAATGAATAAGCAACTTTTGCGGAGTTCAGGTTCAGGCTCCGGCTTTACTAAGCTAATCGGCTTGGAATCACGCTAATGTGATGTTTATCTGTCCAATACTTTGCTCAAAAAATGGGGATGATTAACGATGATGATGGGCTGATTGTTATTGTCAATGCGCAAAAGATCTAATAAAATCTGAACTTTCCGGTTCTAGTTTGCTTTCTGGGGTAGTTGTTATCATTATATGCTTAAAATAAAGACAATCACACCGTCGCCGCAATATATAATCCCAGCGAAAGATACTATCAATATAGCCTAGAAGTTCAAAAGGTTTTCATTAAAAGCATATTTTCACACATAGGATAAGCATTTAACAACTTTTTTTATTATGGAAGTTAACTGCCCTGAATCACTTAAAAATACATACAGTCTAAATGAAAAGAAATTCTTTGAACAACGAATTAAGCTGTTCGACCATTTTGCTATTATGCGGCAATCACTTGAATATTTTTAATCAGAATCGCAGGGCTAGTCGGTATGGACTAGTTTCCCTTCCCCTTAATATTTTTTGTTGTTGTATGGAATTTGGTAATATTAAAACAATATGGAATTACGGTCTTAATTAAATTAAAATCGGACATCTATTTCATATAGCTTCCATAAAAAAATGAAAAAAAAACAAGAAAGGAAAGCTAACTTCGGGCGGAGCCGAAGTTGATATACCCTTGCAGAATACTCTGTAAATTATATTCTCCAAAATTATTCATATGATGCATTCTTAATACTCATCAAAAATCCCAACTTCCTAACTTTAAAAACACCGAAGTTATGGCATTTCCAATCGTTAAGTTATATGCCAGCTATAGGATATAGTCGGCCGATCCTTATGAAATTTGATAGGTCGGATTGATTGGCTAAAAATAAAACCCATAGAAAATCCCAACTTCCTAACTTAACAAACACCAAAGTTATGGCATTTCCGATCGTTCAGTTATATGGCAGCTATAAGATATAGTCGGCCGATTCTCATGAAATTCGGTAGGTCAGATTGATTGGCCAAAAATAAAACCTATAGAAAATCTCAACTTCCTAACTTTACAAACGCCAAAGTTATGGCATTTCCGATCGTTCAGTTATATGACAGCTATAGGATATAGTCGTCCGATCCCGGCCGTTCCGACTTATATACTGCGTGCAAAGGAAAGAAGGGTGTGTGCAAAGTTTCAATTCGATATCTTTAAAACTGAGAGACTAGTTCGCGTAGAAACAGACAGACGGACAGACAGACGGACAGACAGACGGACAGACAGACGGACAGACAGACGGACAGACGGACATGGCTATATCAACTCAGGAGGTGATCCTGATCAAGAATATATATACTTTATAGGGTCGGAGATGTCTCCTTCACTGCGTTGCACACTTTTGACCAAAATTATAATACCCTCTGCAAGGGTATAAAAATGTTTAATGTATTTTGCTGCTTTTTGATTTATCCAAGTATTCCTTTGAGGTATAGTAATTATTTACTATATCAGAATTACGCTTTTTAGTTTTGTCAAAATCGTGCAACAATATCATACAGCTGCCATAGAAACGATGACAAATTGCAGCGCAAAATTGTCATAGCTTCATTGTTTTTAGTAATATAGGCATAGAAATCGAAATGTAGTCGATTTGTAAAAACGGCAAGGGTATATAAACTTTGCTTTCTTGTTTTAATTTTTTTTTCCGATTGTTCCTATGGAAGCTATATGATATAGTCGACTTATATATCGGAAACTTTTGACTGTAATTATAATACCCTCTGCAAGCGTATAAAAACAGATATTGACTCTTAAGTAAAACTAGGCGCATCCGTATGGGAACATAAGACATTCTTTCCGCCTTTTGGCAGGGCAATGGGCAGCCCATCGATAAAATAAAAAAGCCCACACAAGCATTTCAAGATACGAGCTGACCTAAATCACTTGCGCGAAGACAATGAACATTTTACAGCAATATTTATGAATTTTATGACATTTATGGATGAGTTCAACATTTCGGTGTTGTCATCTTTATAAAATATGAAGTGGCTGATCAATTTATACATGAGATTTTCTGCCTTTTCTTCGCCCACACTATGAATCGGTTCATAGATTGAACAGCAAAAGGGATGAGTTGAATATGGATATATAAATAAGTTTTTATATAGGTTTTGAACGTGCAATGATGTATATGAATCATTGGGACAGTATATTGTTCATTTTTTTGTGAGTTTTTCTATATTTATATGTGTTGATTTACCCCATTTACTGGTGTTCTTGGGCACGGGAGTTATCAATCATTTATTTTCTTTCCGAGATCGAAACGATCTTAAGTCGAAAAGTTCGCACTTCCAGCATACAACATTTGTAAAGATGACAAGGATTTTTAAAGAAGATTGTCATACAAAAGGTTTAAATGGAGCAAAATATTTC